AGACCACTGTCCTATTATCTTAGACACTAGTTCCCCTATATCTATTCCCCTCTTTAGATTTGAAAATTTCTGGCTTTCGGACCCCTCTCTAGAGCTCCTTTGCCTCTTATGACAAATCTCCTCTCTCGTTTCCTTTTAAGCTGAAGCTCATAAAAAAAAGAATCAAATGGTGGAAAAGAACCTGTCTTCATCCCTATCATTTCCTTTCTTCATCCCTTATGGCCCAGCTGGACTCCCTTAACTTGCTTGAAGATAACAGAGCCTTATCTCCCTCAGAAATTCTCTCTAGAAGTGATCTGAAAGATAAAATTCTTGCATTAGCAAATGCAGAAGAAATTAAATAGAAACAAAGGTCTAGAATTTAATGGTTAAAAGAGGGAGACAATAATACCCGTTTCTTCCATAATGTTGCCTCCCACAGAAGAAGGAAAAACTTCATTCCTTACCTTATGGAGAATAATTCAATCATCTCATCAGAATCAGACTTGAAGAGGGCTTTCTCTGACTTCTATTCTAACCTCTTTCGTCAACCACTAGTGGCTAGGCTTTTAGTTGACTGGAACATCTTGTACCTTGCTGCCCCTCCTGATCTCTCCTCTTTAGATCTACCCTTCTCCTCTGAAGAAATTAAAGCCATAGTTTTTGATCTTCACCAAGATAAATCTCCAGGCCCTGATGGCCTCCCTCTGCTCTTTTACCAAACCTTTTGGAATTCCCTAGAGGAAGATTTTATAGCCTTCACCCAAAATTTTTTCCTCTATCCTCAATCTCTTCATAACATTAACTATTCATACATCTGCCTCATTCCTAAGAAGGAGGGTGCCAGCTCCCCTAAGGTTTTTAGACCAATCAGTCTCATCAACAGTTCTTGTAAAATCATCTCGAAGATCTTGGCTAATAGACTTAGTAGGGTCATCCATCTTCTAGTAGACCCATCCCAGTCAGCCTTCCAAAAAGGTGAATCATCTCTTGACTCTATTCTGTTAGCCCACGAAATGATTAATTTCTGCTCCTCTAGAAAGAAGGATATATGTGATATAAAAGTTGATTTTTTCAAAGCTTTCGATTGTGTCAATTGGGATTTCCTTCTCTCCCTCCTTGAAGCTAGAGGCTTCAGTCAGAAATGGTGTCTTTGGATCAAACACATTCTTTCCTCCTCCAAATCAGCAGTCTTGGTTAATGGCTCTCCAACTAAGTTTTTCAATTGCCATAGGGGATTGAAACAAGGGGACCCCCTTTCCCCCATGCTCTTTCTCCTGGTGGTAGATGTCCTAAACAAAATGTTACTCACAAGCCATGATTCTAGAGATCTGTCAGAGCTCCAGGTGAAAGGTGAACTAAACAATATCAAGTCTCTTCAATTTGTAGACGATACAATCATTTTTGCCAAAGCTTCCTCAGCAGATATGTCCACTCTAAAAGCTATCCTCCTTATATTTGCTCACATTTCTGGTCTGGCTGTGAACCCCAACAAAACTTATCTCTATTACCTTGGGAGATCTCCTAGAAAGGCTTCTCATCTTGCCAGACTTCTCAATTGTTCCGTGAGATCCTTACCCTTTTCCTATCTCGGTCTTCCTCTTAAAAAAGGAACTCTATCTAGAAGGGATTGGCTTCCTCTCCTTGACTCTTTCTCTAAAAAACTATCCCAATGGAAAAATAAATCCTTATCAATAGGAGGTCGCCTAACTCTGGTTAACTCAGTCCTCTCCTCACTCCCACTTTATTATATTTCTTTCTTTAAATTCCCTCAGTGGTTGATTCATGAAATTGACAAGATCAGACGGAATTTCCTTTGGAATGGGAGCAATCTTCCCTCCAAAGTAAAATGTCTGGTAGCTTGGAATTCTGTTTGCAGATCGAAACAAGAAGGAGGACTGGGTATTATCAATCTTCAAGTCTTTAATCTCTCCCTCCTCTCTAAATGGATTTGGAAAAATTTTGAGAGGGACTCATTAATCAGTAGAGTGATCTTCTCCTTGTATTCCAAGGATGATTCCAACCCAGTTGAGCACATATCCAGATCAAATTCATCCAACCTGCTCAAAGAATTAAGCTCAATAATTTCAGTCTTTCTCTTTTTTGCTAGATGGAATGTAGGTAATGGCAAGACGTGTAGCTTCTGCTATGACAAATGGTCTGGATCTAACTCTCTGAGCAGCCTCTTTCCTAAGGCTTTTTCTCTTGCTTTCTCTAAAGATAGCAACATCAAATCTCAGGGTCTCTTCTTAAACCAAACTTGGCACTGGAGGCCAATTCTCAGAAAAGGTATTTCTCCTGATTCGTATAGGGAGGTACAGGATCTCCTATCCTACATAGAACCTTTTGGCTGCGATTCTACCCTATCCAAGGATTCAGTATGGTGGCCCCTTCACTCATCAGGAAAGTTTTCTGTTAAATCTCTCTACTCTACTCTTATTTCTGGAGGATGCTTATCTAGATTCTACAATTTCATTTGGAGATCTCCAATCCCTCTAAAAGTCAAAGTCTTCTTCTGGCTTGTGAGCAAACAAAAACTCAATACAAGGGCCAACCTAGTCTCCAAGGGTTGGATCGGAGACCCTAGGTGTCCTTTTTGCTATTCAGAAGTTGAGAGTCAGGACCACTTATTCATTGCATGCTATTTTGCATCATCAATTTGGTCCACCTTCTTCCCCAGCTTTAATGCTGCCTCCTAGCCTCTTTCGATGAAAGATTAGATTCTAATCAAAGAATCATCAGCTATCAATAGAAATATTAGATGTATTTGGAAGATTGTTCTTCCATGTTGTTGTTGGTGGATTTGGAATTTTCGCAACTTACTCATTTTTAGAGATAAGCAGCAAAATTTTGATCTCATTGCTGCTAATGTGGCTAGATACACTCTTCTTTGGGCAGGTGCACACGATGACAGGCTGGCAAAAAGGATCCATAGGGCTGCAATTAAGTTGCAGTTCGATGAAATCGCGAAGAAGAAGGCAGCTGTCGAGGTGGGAGACAATTTCTCGTCAGATTAGTTCCTGTGAAGGCTTGGTCTCTGTCTAGACTGTCTTTGGGATTTTCTTTTGGGAAGTTATTTAAAGGCGTAACTTCTACTTCAATCTCCTTTTAGTAGCTTAACTGTTTCCTGGTGTAGTGTTTTGCATGTTATCATAGTCTATGTTGGTGACTCTTAAGATTCTCTTTTCTATCTCCAACCTAGCCTAAATCTGGCGGTTAGGCATGTAAATTACTT